CTCTCTCTCTCTCTCTCTCTCTCTCTTTCTCTCTCTCTTTCTCTGTCTGTCTCTCTCTCTCTCTGTCTCTCTCTCTCTTTCTCTCTCTCTTTCTCTGTCTGTCTGTCTCTCTCTCTCTTTCTCTCTCTCTCGCAATATTTCTCTTCACGCGCGCACACACGCAAACACATACATACATACACACACTCTCTCTAACACTCTCTCAAGACAAAGTATAGGTACCTGTATATGACCCACCTAAAACGACTGGTATACCCTAAAATAAAAATAGTATTGCATGATATTATTATTAATATAAAAAAATATTAATAATATATATATTATTATAATTTAAATATGAATAATATTTAATAATATCAGTAATATATCAGGAGTCTATCAACAATAGGATTCTTATAATACATTTAATAATATTATCGCAACAAAATTATTTTTATTAATGAAATTAATACTGGCTATACAGCTGCACATGTCATATATTATTGATATAATTCACTAATTATATAAAATTACGATCCAGGCGTGATTAATCGTATGAAGATCATATAGCGGTGAGAAGCAATAATACTTCACATGTTCACCGCGTGGTGGCAGCATCGTCCAGTCATGTATTCGATCGTAAGTATTTCACTTTTGACCGAATTGTATCAAGAGCGTTAAGAAGGCTTTTTATACGCTCTTGATTGTATGTACAAGTGAGTAATACACTATACACGTAATATAATTTAATACAGGATAAATTATAGAGTGGCGTTAGTGGCAGCAGGCGACATAAACTGTAAAGACGTGATATCTTAGCTCTAGTGTTGCTAACGTTCGAAGTTGCCAAAATCACAGGCACTTGAAGCATATCAACTGTAAACATACGGCGCCGCCATTGCGCGTACCTACACTAACACATTATATATTGAGTGCAATATATATGTGTTAGTGTACGCGCAATGGCGGCGCCGTATGTTTACAGTTGATATGCTTCAAGTGCCTGTGGCCAAAATGGGCACATGTGTACTATTGGTTATACATTATGCTGTACTAGCTCTAGTACTATAGCCCGCGGATCGCTGCCACTTTCAGGAATAAATGGATAAATACATGGTGTAACGTTGTGGAAAGTGTTCAAAAAGATAGGTGAGATGTCTATGTTGATAGATAAGTGTTAAAAAGCTCGATCATTTTGCGTTTTGGGGATAAATTTTTGGTAACATCAGTTGGACCATTTGCATAGATTACATCTATGGCAGAATGTGCTATAGCCCTGCGGCAGCGATCCGCGGGCTATAGTACTAGAGCTAATGCTGTACATACCACATGTATTGTATGTACATTTTGCACATGTATATACGTCATTACGTGATGTGAATGTATACAGGGCTGCCAACATTGGGTGATAGGTGAGAGTGAGATGCGAGGGAGCGAAGCGATCGAGGGTGGGGAGGGGGTTTCCCCCCTCCCACGGTAGGGAGCTTTTGCATTTTATAACTTCAATTTGTCCAATTTGGTGCATACTAAAGTGACAGTTTTCAGATATTGTAAGATTTTTTTGCTGTGCGTGAGATATTTCAGCATTTTATTCATGAAGAGATATTCATGCGTGAGCTAGATATCTCAGCATTTTTTTGCTGTGCGTGAGATATTGTAAGATCAGCGTGAGAGCGTGAGATTTGGTAAAAAATGTGTGAGTCTCACGGTCAAAGCGTGAGAGTTGGCAGCCCTGATGTATATACATGGTTAGCCAAAAGTTACCGCCAATAGTTGATCTATGTGAATCAGTCGTTGAGCCTGGGCAGGCTGATACATCACTTGATGTGCATGTGACAAAAATATATAAACATGATGTATGCTTATATGCACTTATACATGTACTACTATTATTACTAGCTCCAAGGGGCCCTCATGTGCCCCACACAGTCATGTGTTATGAGTGTATTACTCTTACAAGTCGACTTCAGGCTCTACGACGTGTTACTGTGTGTGTAACTTGCAGACGTAGAGACGCAGGAAGGATAGTGAACGAGCGATGGTTGCTATGAAGGATGCGTCGTCATGCGTGATGCCACCGCGTGAGGCAGCTGCCTTCATCGCTGAATCGGCCAAGGACGTGAAGATACTGCCAGACGGAGTGGAAAAGCTAGCGCACCATGTATGTATGTTAGACGCGATAACGTAGCTATAACAGAACCAGCTATTCTAACCGCTCTGACAACTCCACACTATATTGTACATGTACACTATATCATACATCTACACTATACTGTACTATAGATCTGCTTGATAGTGTACGTTTAAAAGATGGAACATCCACTCCAGATCTAGGTTCAAACATCGGGTATCTGCGTAATAGCAGGATGATCTTTCACGTAGCTAGACTATCGTATATATCTATTCGCCCTAAAGTCATGAGTTTAAGAACCGAATAGAGTTGAGCAGGCAGATATCGAACAATCCGACAAAACTCTAATCAACTGAAAAACAGAAAGCGCTGAGTAAAGTTCAAGTACAATTTGTTGTACTGTCATACATTTTTGTTTGCAGCTTGCAGATGTGATGGGAAAAAATAAGCACAAGGTCAATGAAAATCAACTTCCAGATTTCAACCCGAAAACGGCTGACAGAGCAGCAGTAGACTGGTAAGAATTGTACTTACTACACGTACGTTGTATAAACAAACCAAAGCTTCCCATTTGGGGTACAGATTGTAGGTAAGGTGTCCAAGTTTGCAGTCCACAATATATGCACGATCCACTAATACTTGACTTAATACAATGCAATTTTAACCAATCGGAGAAAAGCATGCTCTGCGGCAAATTCAGCGCTCAGTAATGTTCATGTACCGACCATTCCTGGTCTTCTCCCTACAAAAAAACGGTTAGGATCAAGTGCGGAGAAGGCCACCGGATGTTTCTATGTCTCGGTGATGTTCCCCGAACCTGCAGGTTGTTCCTTGCAGGGTGTTCTTCATCGACACGCTGAACTTCTCGTTCTGGTCGGAGGATGAGCGGCGAGCGTTCACCGTGCGACACAGAGGTCGCGACCTCACCGGCTACTTCTCTCTCTGCGCAGCCGTCAACAGGTCGCTGGAGGTACGGCGTCGCCACGGCAACCACGCGCGCACGCGGACCCCTCATCTCGGCCCTCAGAGCTGCTCGCGAAATCCGTAAACTGTAATGTAGACTGTCAACAGTCAAACTTGTGTCAGCGATCGCTCCTGTAGAAATCTTCACCTGTGTATAAAGGACACGTTTCCCTCGCATGACCTCTATATACAGGATATGCTATATATGCTATATACTATACATATACTATATACACTATATACTATATACGATATATATGTACAGGGATGAGATTCTTCCGCGGATCCGCGGAAATCCGCGGATTTGAAAGTCCCAGGGGTCGATTTTGTGAAAC